TCCATCCATCTAGGCAATAAAAAAAGAGAAATATAATTATATTTCTCTTTTTTCATTCGACGTGAAGGTTATGATAGAAAAAGGCTTTCATGCATCGCTATCAGTCAATAGCACATTGTTTTTTTTTTTTTATGATTGAAGAATTACTGGTGGCCCGGAGGCCTTTCCAGTTTCACCAGGACAGGTGGGCGAGCAAAGGCTCAGCCAGGAGGGGTGGGATTTGCTAACAGCTACCCGAGCGCCTCCGAAGGAAACCTAACAGCTCAAGAGCAGTTGCTTCGCGAATGAATCTACTACCGGATCGGAATCGCGACCCGCTGAGAAGATCCAGCGAGAAACTCAGCGAGCTGATTCATGGGTTAGGTTGCGCGGCGAACTCTTTGTCGAGTTCGACGAGTACGGTTACCGGGGTCCCTAAGCCTGCTCCTAGTGTTAGAGCTGAAGGCGTCTAATGCAAAGGTTATTGGATCTGATGGATCCGTAAGGACGTGTCTAGGGCGTCGACGGTGACTGGCTCCTGCGTGATCAGGATTCGGGGCGCACATTGTATGAGCTGTATCACTACATAGTATAGAACAAAGTCGCTTTCTCAGTCCCTATATCCCTATGTATGCTTAAATCGTTAAAAACACGCAACGGATTTTGATGCGTTTTTTTTTAATAGATAGAGTGATTGAAGAGGAACGTTTATATGTATAATAACATCCATTAAATAGTGGAGAAATCAATAATAAATTACAGTTTCCGAAGCGAAGCGAGGGCGGGTCGCTAGTTAAACAATAAGCGTGTTATTTTAAATATATGAGTGGCAACCCTACTTTGATTTGTGGCACGTTGTGTACGAGGGAAGTTGCGGTCGGAGTGGTCTGTGAACGGCCATATAGTGTTTATAATGCATAGGGCGCGTTTTGTGCACCGGGGCCGGCGGCCCAGATTCCGAACTTCGATTCCTGACAAGAAAACAGTGTTACGAATTCATACAACCTAACCCATGCATCAGCCCGCTGAGTTTTGTCACCGGATCTTTTTTTTTTTGTTGCTTAGATGGGTAGACGAGCTCACAGCCCACCTGGTGTTAAGTGATTACTGGAGCCCATGGACATTTACAACGTAAATGCGCCACCCACCTTGAGATATAAGTTCTAAGATCTCAGTATAGTTACAACGGCTGCCCCACCCTTCAAACCAAAACGCATTACTGCTTCACGGCAGAAATAGGCAGGGCGGTGGTACCTACCCGCGCGGACTCACTAGATGTCCTACCACCTTCTCAGCGGGTCGCGATTCCGATCCGGTAGTAGATTTATTCGCGAACCAGCTGCTCTTGAGTTGTTAAGTCTTCTTCGGAGGCGCTCGGGCAGCTGTTAGCAAATCCCATAACCCTTGCTGAACCTTTGCTCGCCCACCTGGTGAAACTGGAAAGGATTCCGGGCCACCAGTAATACTTCAATCATAAAAAGAAAAGAAAAAAAACATTAAATAATTTATACGTATTTTTTGTGTTCAAGAACAGACTAGTATTATTAAATAGATTTTTGGCCCTTAACTGGTCATTGGATTATGGGTTTTCTACCGTATCACGCTCATTCGGTTATGAATCGATTATATATTGGTTAAGGCTGCGATGCTGGCTTGCTGTGGGACGACTGTCGATGACTTGCTTTTATCTGCGAGAATGCGGGAATTGTGGTAGCCGAAATTCTTGATGCGCTGATAATGAAGTGTGAAGGCTGCAATTGTTCCGTCGAGGTCACCAGTTTGTGGAGATATACGACAAAGGAAAGATCTTCCACCGAGCGGGTGATATTGCTCGGTAGACCGACGGTCCAAATGTTCGGAACTTGTATATATGCGCTTTACCTTGAAAATTTCGTAAGCGAGATTCAGGAATCTGTCAATTATCTTGCGTTGTATGATGGCTACCCGCCACAATATAAATAAAAAAATTGGATTAATCGATTAGCTATTAAAAACGTTTCGCTTCTCCAACATGATAGATATAGTTACTGTTGAATGTACATACTTGAAAATTGACTCGAACAAAACCAGAACTAAGTGAAGTTCCGAAACTGTTATATTATATCGCTACACAGAATTTAATAAAGCCTAAATTATCTCCTCCACAATACGCAAAAAGTGAGCAGGAAGAGGACGATTCAAAAAGTTACCGAAATTAAAAATGTGTCTGTCAAATATTTACGTGTCTATGGATTTTTGGCGCTAAAGCGTAATAAGGATCTTTACTTGGGATTTTTTATCTGTGTATGTGTTTTTTTTTATTTGCATACACTTTGCAACAGAGCAAGGAGCTCAGACACGTTGCCCGCGTCATTTTTAAATTAAATAGTTCAATTTGGGGCGCGAAGTCGAGATGCGAAAATATGTGAATTATTTTTATTTTTGATTTAGTGTTTCATCAGATTTAAACGTGTAATATTAGTGGCTTCTTAACCGGTTAGTACATGCGAAAATCCCAGAAGCGTTGGAAAATAAAAAAACGTGCAACGGTGGTTTCTTTAGACAAAGAGCAAACTAAGATGTTGATAATGCGAATGTTTGTCCGATGTTGGTATCGAATCCATGACCCTTGGTGCAACAGGCCCCTGCCTAACTACTAACTACTACACCACTAAATCGGGCACTCAACTTCATATAATTTTCCATATACCTAATATGTTTTTTTTTATTGCTTAGATGTGTGGACGAGCTCACAGCCCACCTGGTGTTAAGTGGTTACTGGAGCCCATAGACATCTACAACGTAAAATGCGCCACACACCTTGAGATATAGTTCTAAGGTCTCCGTATAGTCACAACGGCTGCCCCACCCTTCAAACCGAAACGCATTACTGCTTCGCGGCAGAAATAGGCGAGGCGGTGGTACCTACCCGTGCGGACTAACAAGAGGTCCTACCACCAGTATATGTATGTATTAAATCATTGAATATTTCTATAAACTCGACACTGGGTAACAATAGCATCGCAAGAGGCCAATTTCCAAGTATAAGGGTCATTGATACAAATAAAATTATATCTAAAATAAAATCGAACGTATTGTAAGATTCGGTCTAATATTGCGGCGAAGCACTCGACAAGTTACGTTTGGAAGGTGAGAACAGTTGTTATAAAATTAAATTGGTACTTCGATCTTGTCTCTCAAGTATCCACCTTACGGCGAAACTTGCTCTGTGATGCCTATGGTCTCTAGTTCACTGAAACTTCAAGTTTCAAGTGTGGCGTCTCATTTGTACATAAAAAAACTCGTAAGCATTTTTGCACATACTTATGCAAGTGTGTGAACTTTAGAAGAAGAAAAAATATATTTCATACTAGCTGACCCGCTGACTTCGTAGTGCCTCAATCAATAAATAAAATACCTAAGCTTTTGTATAAAATAAACTTAAAACAAACAAAAGGAATCCGTCCGACGGGGGACACATCAAAGGAAAAACAAAATTGTTATTTTTATTTAATTCCGAGCATTTTCATATTTATCTACCTTTTAAACCTTCTCTGGACTTTCACAAATAATTCAAGACCAAAATAGGCCACATCGATTCAGCCGTTCTCGAGTTTTAGCGAGACTAACGAACAGCAATTCATTTTTATATATAGAAGATTCATGCCACACATATCTGTTTCCGTTTCCAATACTGGTGACTTCTAATGGGATAACGTTAAAATACCCCGATTCTGTCCTTTCAAACAGTTTTGCATTGAACGCAATGGAATACAAAACATCTGATGCGCGACACAACGCTATCCATTAACGCGTGCACCTCGCTTTAGATTTTCCAGTTCACGAAAAAAAAAAAAAAAATCCTAAAAAAGTATTTAAAACTTTCAAAGCAAGTGTTATAAAGTTTTAAATAAACGGAATATTACATACTATTATTATAACATAGTAAATTTATTTTTACTTCTCGGATGAGATATGCAAGCTTACTACACAGACCGTTACAGAAACGTCTCACCCTCTGTGTGAGTGAGATGCAAAACCTTGTTCGACATCAACCCCACGAAAAACACAGCCGCGCTCGACAGAAGGGGTCGCTCTCCCGACACCGCTGCTAATATCTCGTTCAGAATTAGGTGTTAGAGCTACAACCCCGTCTCAATATCTTTGGTCAGCCCGTACCGTAGACCTCGAAGGTTAGTACGTAAGTACTTAAGCATCTCCTTCGAAAGAGGAATGACATTCAGGAGAGTACGCAGCCGAACTGCTCTCTCTACTCGATCCCGACGATAGTGCTCGCTCACAAGGCCTGTACACACATTCAACTCTCTCTGGGTCAACCAATCCCGTTTTGCAGGATAGCCCTCGAAGCAATATGGTACGTGAGGAACGTCGATCTTCACGACGACTTAAACTTAAAATCGTTACGTAACTATCAAAACGATGCGTCAGAACACTACTTTGTCAAAGCGGTGCGACACGATAGTCCCTCTTATCGTGGCCGCCCCTAATTACATACCCGACCCAGGCGACGAGGCAATGCAAAGCCGCCGTCGCCCAAAACGTATCTTATCGGGTCCGCTCTCGGTGCTTTCTTCATCACAGTCTTCAAGCACCGAACACCATCCTCGTCGAAACTCGTCGATTACGACGAGCGAATTAGTCCATAGACACAGCCCACTGAGCTTCTCAATAAACTTTCTTAGATAGAGTCCGTTAGGTCACCTACTAGCCAGAGCGAATAGCTAGCAAAGAATAGCTAGGCTGCCAACGAATGCGTAGGGAAAAAGCCTTGTACTAATCTCAAATCAATACGCCTAGCTACCCATAACAAACACTTTCGCCCCTTAAATAGGAAGTGTGGTGATATATTAGGATATTTTATAAATATCAGTTTTGCATTTTTCTGTTTTTTTTTTAGTTTTACTGTCACTATCAGAGCAACATCACCACTCCTGTCAATTTAAAACGTTTGAGTGATGTGGGAATATCTATGCTTTAATTCAATTATCGATCCCATTCATCGACATTCTCGATTGTCCACTTAGCACTATTCGAGAAGTCAACTCGATTATTCTTCACTACTGAAAGCACATCAAAACAATGCACATTTATAAAATATTTATTCTTGTACACAATAAAAATCACAACTTGTACACAATCTAAACCGTGGCACATCGATAACAGATAAAATATAGTATATTTTCTAAACTTTTTTGTTTTTTAGTACGCTTCACTAATTCTAAGTTTGAGGTATTTGTTTTCTTAAATTTAATGTTCGTTTTTTTTTTTTTAAATAAAATATCAGGAAGGTCCGACTGTTCCTTTCGTCGCTTGTCAAAAAGTCAGGCCCGCCAATTTATCACAAAAATAAATTCGTGCTTATTGTACTGGCAATACAATCCACATTTCAACATCTTGACACTTTTAATTCACATTAATTTACAAATTGAATTGTTCGAATTTTTACGAAAATATTAATAATAATAATAATAATTGTCTAACACAAGTTTTAACACAGCCAAAAGCATTGAGATCTTCATTGATATACAATCTGTATGACTAGTTTAGTAAAAAGTAAAAAAATGTCTTTTGAACTGATTTTGATTGAATAATTTTGTTTTTTTTTTTTTTGTAAACTATACATCGATAACATCAATATTTTACATCTAAACACATAGATAACCACACAAACCCTACTGCAAAACACATAGATTCCTTTCTTATACCTAAAAAAGAAATTAAGTTACTTTTCGAAGAACTTCCTTTTTTGTTTGAAGTCTGTTCAAACTATGGTATTGTTAAAAATATGTCACCTTAAAAATATATGAGCAAATCCAAAAATAATTCAAAATTCACGTATAAAGAGAAGTGTGAACTTATTAACTCAACATTGGTCGTTGAAAATAAAATATAAATCTTTAATCTTCCGCTTCAGAACCAATACAGTACTCTGTCTTGATGTCTCTGGTCATGTCTTCGGGGGAGTCGTTTCGGATCGAGCGGGATTCGAAGCTGTTTTGTGACGTCATACCGGCCAGGATGCCGTTTGACAGAGCCTGTACTGACAACGCTTCCTGTGACGGTCCCGCGTAACTGTACTGCTGGTACACCGCTTGTATCCGCGCAGCGTTCACCAGAGTCTGAATCTTTAGCTGCGTGTCTAGAGCTAAGCTCAGCGGCAGTTTCCTTAGCTGGCTCGCTATCAATTTCCCGAACATCTCGAACTCATTCGAGTCGTTGCCGTTCTCGGAATGCTGACTCAAGTCCTGCGGGAGGTCCGTGTGGTCGTTACTGTCTGAATTCCCTTTCTTTTGTTTCGCTGGCACCGGGTATATAGTGGCGAGCGAGGTCGTTAGCGGCGTGGCGATCCCGACGGGGGGGTTGAGGAAGGGCGCGGAGCCAGACGACGGGAGTATCACGAACGGCGTGGCGGGGGCGCCATTCAGGCCGAAAGGTGTGCTGGGACGCGGCGACGGCGTGTTGAGCACGTACGGCGTCGACGAACGATTCGAGTTCCGGCGTTTTCTAGGGCTCTTCTTTTCCGGCGATTTTCGCTCGCTCAGATCTTGAACGATATCGCTGTCATCGCTCATCGGGATCTCGAGTAGACTATTGTCGACCTGTCAATAATAAAATATAAAATGTCTTATAATAGCGCGTGTGTAAACATTGAGCGGGTATGTAAACAAAATGAATAAACTCACGGAGCTCGGCGTGACGATCGCCCGCAGAAACCTGTCTGCGTGCTCGAACCACGTGACGCTGGGTCGGTACGCATGCGCGCCGGCCTTCCTAGCCGCGCGAATCTTCTTCAGCTCAACGCTGTAAGACGAACGTATGTTCTTTATCTTGTTTTTCAATTCTTTAACCGTAACGTCGACTAAGTTGAGCGCGTTTATTATTTCCACGTAGCCCTGCTCCCTTATTTTCTTGTTTTTGTAGTGCTCCGACACCGGGTTCCAGAGGAATTCGCGTTTCTCGTATTCGATAATCATTTGGATGGTCAGGTCCTCGCTCCATTTCGGATTGGCCAGTATCGCGACCATTTTCTTGATTACAGCATGCTATTTTGTTTTATTTTATTAAATTCGCGTACGTTGTGTTACTAGGAGCGCAGAAGGGTGCGGGCGGTTCGCATGCGCGCAGCATACTAAAAGCACGTCGATGGGCAGACACCCCGCGCGGGGGGTCTATTTCGGGAGTAGCCGGCATCACGCAGTCGCGTGCTTTGGAGCGTGCTGTTTCCTCTTCTCGCTGCTCGGAGGCTGGGCCCGAGTGAAACGGAAGATTTGTGACCGTCGCCGGACCCAAGCTGCACGTACACACTTTAACGACTCTTAAACTTTAACTTCACAAGAAAACTGCAACTGTATATTATTTTTGGTTCGGCAACATTAATTAATATAGCTATTAAATTAAAAATAGATTAAAGTCGATTAGTAATCGTCAATTAAATTCAGATTTTGTATTATTTTTGGGCGTATAAATAAATTTTGGTATGAAAAAATTACATCTAGAATTAATAATGCCTAAATAATGCCAAAAATACACGAGAATGCAACGTCTCGCACGGTGTACGCGGCGCGAACGTCCTTGATCCTTTGTAAGCGGTAGGTGAAGCGTCATTATTTGGCGCACGACGCGACGCTCACACGACCGATAACCTAACACTGACCGACGAATAATAATCATGGATGCATTCTACAAAAGGATATTTTTTTTAATATTTTTTAATACCGAATTGTTTTTAACATGTTATTAATAATTACGTATGCGTGTTTATTTGTTATGAGAACTTTGTATGTCAATTTCGCTGACTTTGAGATGTATGATTAACTTAAAAATTGGCCAACGCATCAACAACAGTACAATGCCCATAGAGATTTTTTTTTGCTTAGTTGTGTGGACGAGCTCACAGCCCACCTGGTATTAAGTGGTTACTGAAGCCCATAGACATTTACAATGCAAATGCGCCACCCACCTTGAGATATAAGTTCTAAGGTATCTGTATAGTTACAACGGCTACCCTTCAAGCCGAAACGCATTACTGTTTCACGGCAGAAATAGGCGGGGTGGTGGTACCTACCCGTGCGGACTCACATGAGGTCCTACCACCAATAAGAAAGTTTTTCGCCGGATCTTCTCAGTGGGTCGCGATTCCGATCCGGTGGTAGATTCTGAGAAATGTTTGTCGCCCTACCTGGGATCAACAATATCGGGGCTATTTCTATCGCATATCAATAAGTAATGTTTTTCTGTTTAAAAACAACAGAATAATGATTTTGATAGCCCAGAGCAGCGGGACGCTAGTATGTAATTGAAAGAGATTAAGTGATGAGAGATATCATCACAAAATAAATAGCATTTAATAATAAATCGAACACGGCGTAACTAAAACATACTTAGAATGGACACGGTCTAAATTTTAGTTGTAAAAAATTCAAACTCACTCTAATTGAAAAAAAAAAAACTTTTAATGAAGCTCCACATAAACTAGCCGATCCAAAGACATTATATATTTATAACTAGTGTTTCAATAGGTTACAGTGCGAAGATATTTTTAAAATTAAATTATTGTCAATACCAGTTTGAGCCGTAAAGATGTTTGTTGCAAATTAACATTATTGCCTTTTTTATTCCTTCGACGAGTGGGCGATTAGATCAATCAGTAGGTGGACGAGTTCACGGCCCACCTGATGTTAAGTAGCTATCGGAGTCCATAGACATCAACAATGTAAATGCCCACACCCAGCTTGAGATATAAGTTCTAAGGTCTCAAGTATAGTTACAACGGCTGCCCTACCCTTTAAACCGAAACGCATTACTGCTTTACGGCAGAAATAGGCAGGGTGGTGGTACCTACCCGCGCGGACTCACAAGAGGTCCTACCACCAGTAATTACGCAAATTATAATTTTGCAGCTTTGATTTTTGTTACACGATGTTTTTTTCCTTCACCGTGGAAGTCAATCGTGAACATTTATTGTTGTCTTATGATAAATGAACCATAATATGAGAAAATGCATACAAGTAATAAGAATATTATTTAGACAGCAAAACTCTTATCGTGGCCACCTCTAATTACATACCCTACCCATACGATGGGCAGCGCACAGCCGCCGTCGTCACCTTAAACACGCCTTGTCAAGTCTTCCCGGAAGCACCGATCTTCGTTCTTATCGAATATGACTAAAGCGTTCAATGTGGAACTTAGCCCATAGACACAATCCACTGAGCTCTTTACCAGATCTTCTCAGTAGGTCACGATACCGATACGAAAGTAGATTCAGCGAAACACTGCTCTTGCTAGGGTAGATGTTAAAAAATTCTCTCAGACTGATCCTCGTGAGTTTCTTTACTAGCCCGGAGAAACTGGATTAGCTCGAGGTTAGCAGCGATTAGGTAGAAAAAAAATAAACGCTAGCATGTACCGATCTATCTATATATTATTTAATAGGTGAAAAACTTTGTACCCCTTTTTACGAAAATTGCCCGAGCAGAGGAGTATGAAATTTCCCACACGCACACAAGGAGTGCTGAATGCTATTTTTTTTATTGTGCATTAATAATATTAAATCAATAAAAAAAAAACAATACACTCACTACCATATGTTTGACACAACACATATAAACATTTAGACTCTCTGTTTATTGTCAAACTTTTGTTAATGCTTAAAGTCTGTGGTGGTATGGAGAATAGGTTAATATAGGCTATATTATTGTCTGGGCGAAATCTTTGAATAAAGAAGTCTTTGACAAAAGAACCTTAATAATGTTCAAACTTATAATTTCAATTAATTATAGTCGAATTTCGACTACTGCGGGACCACTAGTTATAATAACACGACGCCGCGACGCCCCCATCAAATTCTTAGTTGAGCCGGCGACTGTACGTATTTTTTTTCGGCAGCACACGTTTCGCATTCATTACGACGGCACCCAGACACATACAGGCATGCACAAATGCTCTGAGAGTCACGAGAATATACAATGCATCGCCATAAATATATATGAGGCATATGCGCGCTACAAAATTACTAGCCGCGTCTCTTCAAAGCAGGCGATGAGCATAAAGTGATATTTATCTGTCGCTCGGCCTCGCACCGGCACCTATCAAGCGGGATACCGCAAAGTTACACGAGCCGAAACAAAATTCTTATGACTCTAGATTCAGGGTTCAAAATGGCTCGTTGCGGTTGTTGGAANCGCCATAAATATATATGAGGCATATGCGCGCTACAAAATTACTAGCCGCGTCTCTTCAAAGCAGGCGATGAGCATAAAGTGATATTTATCTGTCGCTCGGCCTCGCACCGGCACCTATCAAGCGGGATACCGCAAAGTTACACGAGCCGAAACAAAATTCTTATGACTCTAGATTCAGGGTTCAAAATGGCTCGTTGCGGTTGTTGGAAAACCGCGCAGTGCTGTAGTACCATAGATAGATGAGTTCGCGTGCAGTGACGCAACGCAGACCGGCTTGACATCTGTATATAATGATTGCGGTATATATTATCGGTGTTGAATGTGGCCGATTTAGGGTGAGGAGTTTTGCTGAATCACAAAGAGACTTTTCGAAAACGATCCGTGGATGTAACAGTTTAGTTTCTGGATTCAAAATTTTGTTTATTCTGATTAATCGCGTCTGGACACTAAAATAGGCTATGTATTTTAGATATATGTCCTGTTTTTTTGTTTGTTTCAGTAGCAGTGATTCAACTTTAAAGTACGCTTTTTTTCCTTTGTGGAAGTCCAGAGGTTTAAAAGGTTGATATGAAAATACTCGGAATTAAATAAAAATAACAATTTTGTTTTTCCTTTGACGTGTCCCCCGTTGGACGGATTCCTTTTGTTTGTTTTAAGTTTATTTTATAAAAAAGCTTAGGTATTTTATTTATCGATTGAGGTACTACGAAATCTGCCGGTTCAGCTAGTTTTGAATATTTATTTGGAAAAAAGATTCTAAGGATGTTTATCTTAATTAATTGTATATTACCTTTGATAACATTTGGGAACTATCCTCAATTACCTATTTTAGATATATATCCTGCGTTTCTGTTTTTGTTTCAGTAGCAGTGATTCAACTTCAACGTACGCTTTATCCTTGTTGTAACAGTGTACTTGATGTGTGTAATTTTATTCGGATGTTTTTTCTACAATTTAATTATACTAATAGAAACGAAGTATTAGTATTTGACTCCACTGCATTGTAGATTTAATTAATTTATTCGTCTTTTGTGATTTAATTTCTAATTTGAATTTTGTTAACTAATGTATCAATAATTCAGATTGTGACATGAATTATCAAACAAATCATTATGTTACTTGAAACTAGGTCTTCCTCACCCGGTCTTAACTAAATGCAAACATTATAATTACAACAAAAAAATACACACAATTTGAAGCACAATATAGTTCTTCTTCTTTTTCTCCACCTTATCTCACTAGGTGGGGTCGGGCACAGCGAATTTTTCTGTTCCATTCTCTTCTATCAGCCGTCATCTCAACACTCACTCCTCTCTCTCTCATATCCTCATTCACACACTCCATCCATGTCTTCTTCGGTCGACCTCTTTCCCCTTTACCTCGCACTACCATTTCCATATACCTATCTCTATATATCTCCTAGTCACATGCATCAATACATCAAGTCACATGCATCAAGTATATATTTTTTTTCTGCTGATAGCCTTGAGAGGTTATGTCAACTTCTCCTTGACGTGTAAGTGAGCTCACGGGGCTCAAACCGAGAGTGTTGCGAACACTGGCCTTAGCAAGAGCAGTGGTTCGCTGAATCTACCACCGGATCGGAAACGCGACCCACTGAGAAGATCCGGCGAGAAACTCAGTGGGCTCAAGTATAATATGGTTCGGTGAATTTAAATACTGCGGAGTCGAGCGCCAACAGACCGGGCGTAGGGGGCCGCTAAAGCGCTGTAATATTCATGGCGCTGCACAAAATAACGCGATCCGAAATGAGCAGTGCAATCTGACAAACGTGCGTCACATTAGCCGGCGGCGAGGCGGCGTTTTCCACACTCGGCGTCGTAATGAGGGTGACGGTCGCGTGGGTGGATAACGTGCCGGGCCCCTGCGCGCCTACCGCGGTGCCGCCGTAATTGAGGTTCTCTACGTCAAATTGCTTTAGTCGCCTTATATATTTTATCGGGGTATCTTTTATTGTCCCTTATTACGTTGCATAGCTGTTGTCTAAGTTTCCCTCTGAAGTTATATTGTTAGCAACGTCGTCAAGTTGAGCCCCATGAGCTCACCTAGTTGTTAGGTTACGCTGACAAAGCCTCTCAAGGTTATCAGCTTAGGTAGGAAAAAAATTGTTTAGTTCTAAATTTAAATGAATCATTTTAAAATTATGTATCAATGTACTCCATGTTTAA